AATCTTCATATTAATCTCCTGGATTTCTAATTAGAGGTTTTGTATTATTTCACAATTTGCATTTATTTTGTGTTTGTTGTTGTAGTGTTTTCCTTAGTTCTAAAATTTTTTTCTGTGTTCTTTTCTCGATCTTTCTATCCTGTGAAGGTACCTAAATATCATTCTTTTAAATTCTTTTTCAGTTAGTTCCATTATCTTTTCCTCCTTAGAAATGTTTTCTGAGTTTGCATCTTAGTCATTTGTTTGAGCCATTCTCTTGTTTCTTCCTGTGAGCTATAGTTGTCTGTTGTCTCTGGAGCATTGTGGGGTTGTCCCATTTGTGACTGATGGTTTTATGTTCTTAAGCTCTCACAGCTGTCTCCTGTGGATGTAAAGAATGAGAACATGTACTCTGTTCTCATTCACCATTTGTGTACCTCAGTTTGTGGTGGACGTGGCTGGTGTTGGCTGCTATCATTGATCAAGTGGTATAGGAGCTGGTGTTGGCTCTTACCAACAATAAACAACCAACCAATAATGAAAAGAAAAAAACAAAAACGCAGCAACCACAGAAAAATAAAATGTAATAACTAAAGAAAAAAGAGGAACAGGAAAATGGAACTATAGAAGAGGAATGAGAGGAAATTAAAATTTAAGACAAAACAGTGAGAGGGAAGATGCAAAGAGACTAGAAAGTAGTAAAGATCATAAGGAAAAAGGGGAATCAAAAGTAAATAATGCAGAGACAATATAAAATTCAAGGGAATGGAAAGAAATCGAGGAGAAAAAATAAACAACAAAAGGAGAAAACCAAACCCCAAAACAACCAGTGCAGCTTTTAGACCCGAGAGGAGAAAACTGAGGGAGGGGCTCTTGTCAGAATAGGAGTTCATGAGGCGGTTGTGGGAGGGATGTGACAGAGTTCTTGGCCCTAGATGGAGTTCCTGTCTGCCTCTGTGTTACCTGTGTTCAGTGCACTCAATCTGGAAGTAATTCCCAGAGGCCCACGATGGAGCTGGTTTCAGTGTCTTAATGACTACAGAGCAGGTGGAAGTGACCCATTGCTTAAATGCTGGTCTGGAGGCTCTGTAGGTCTCGAGCCAACCCTACCTGAATCCAGGTACCAAAGGGAGGTAGCCAGCCCCCAACTCACACAGAGTTCCCAACCACATGACTCTTAAACACCCAGAGAGTAAAGTCTAAGCTGGGGGTGAATGGGGGTGAGAGGTGACCTTACCTCTCATCACTAGGGGAAGGTGGGGGAAGAGAAGGAATCATACATTTCCTGATACCTGTGTGGATCTGCTGTGCCAAGCTGCCACCGATTGTCAGAGCTGCTCACAAAAGCTTAAGATGGCTGTTCTTGAGTTATCTGGCCGGCTGTTCACCAGTCTCCCTTTCCTGCCATCCCTGCTCAGCTTCTAGCAAGCACGCAATCCACTTCTCTAACCTTCCCGCTGAAGTTCAGGGTTCCAGAATTTTCTGTTTTGGTCTCATATCTTTGTTATGGAGGGTCCTAAAAGTGGTACATTTGCCTCTTCTGCCATCTTGCCACAAGTCCTCAAATTCCATTTTTTCATCAACATTTTGAAGTCCCCTCATATGTAAATAACATCAATGCATGCATGCATTAGTCATGGCAAGCTAAGGTTTCAAACCAGCTGAATTAAGGCTGTGAGGATGAACTCACAAAGAGGTCAGGATAGCAAACTTATGTCCTGAGTCATCTTAGGAATGAAGTTACGTCTGTACTCCAGGGATGGAAAGTTTTGAGGGCACAGAAGGGCTCAGGTGCTTACTGACACTGGTGAGAGAGGTTATTTTGTTGTTGCTAGGTACCATCGAGTCAATACTGACTCATAGCGACCTTATGCACAGCACAATGAAACACTGCCTGATCCTGGGCCAACCTCACTACTGTTGCCACATTTGAATCCATCGATGCTGCCACTTGGCCAGTCCATCTAGTTGGGGGTCGTCTTTTTCTCTGACCCTTCACCTAACCAAACATGATATCCTTCTCCAGTGACTGGACCCTCCTGACAATATGTCCGAAGTATGAGAGACAAAGTTTGGCCAACTCTGCCTCCAAGGAGCACTCTGGCTGCACATATTAGGCCCAAAATAAGATCTACTTTTCTAGATTTGGGCAAATCAAGGGCAGTCTTGAGGTGGGATAAGACTGCCAGCGGGCAGGCAACAACTGGGTGAGGTCCTGCAGGCAGGGACTTGCAGAATGGGCTGCCCTACCCTAAAGAACTGCTGGAGATTTATCATTACAGACAAGCTGCAAGGACTCGCATGAGTAGTGGTAAGTCTCCAGCAGTTCTTTAGGGTAGGGGGCCAGAGTGATAAGAGGCCAGTGCTGTGAGTTCCAGAAGGGTGGCCTATCACTGAGCCCATGCAGGAGCCTGTGGGGGCAGTGGAGAGTGCCACTGCCCTTGTAGGCAGTGTTGTTAGAGCGCCCCCTAAGGGAGCTTCTCTGGGTTTCTGGTGGAGGAGGATAGGTTCATTAAGAGCTTGAGGACAGAGAAGAGCAAAAAGTTCCAGCACCTGAGAGCTAGCTCATGACTAGATCATTGTCTGGAGCAGTAAAGTATTGCAATGGGCAAATTTGCTGCAAAATACCTTTAAGTATTAAAAGGCAAACATGTCTATTCGAGGATTAAGGTGCACCTGACCCAAGCCCTGATATTTTCAGTTGCCTCATATGCATGTGAAAGTTGGACAATGAATAAGGAAAGACCAAAGAATGATTGATGCCTTTGAATTATGATGTTGGTGAAGAATAGTAAATGTAACTTGGATTGCCCCAAGAATTAACAAATCTGTCTTGGGAGTATAGCCAGATTGCGCTTTAGAAAGAAGGACAGTAAAATTTCATCTCTCGTACTTTGGACATATTATCAGGAGGAACCAGTCCCTGGAGAAGGATATTGTACTTAGAAAATAGTTTAAGTGCCATTCACTTGGTTCCAACTCATAGCGACTCTGTATAAGGTTTCTAAGGAACAGCTGGTGAGTTTGAACCCCAGACCTTGCAGTTCACAAACCTACCTTGCAGTTCAATGCTTATCTTATGGGCGCCACACCAGGACTCCTGGTAGAGGGTCAGCAAAAAAGAGGAAGATCCTCAAGGAGATGGATTGACCAGTGGTTGCATCAATGGGTTCAAATAGCAGTGACTGTGAGGACGGAGCAACGTTTTGGTCTGTTGTACACAGGGACACTATGAGTTAGAACCAGCTTGGTGTGGAACCTAACAAGCGCCCTGATTTTTGGTAGAGAGACTCCCAGGTGACAAACCAGTAACACTACTATGCCCTAAGCATGTCTGGTCACCATACTGCCAAGCAGGTAAGTGCTCTCTCTGCCCCCTTTAGTCCTTGCTGGCACCTAATACCTTCTAGCCTCAGTGCCTTCACCACCTTCACCCCGTGACGTCCTCATTCTTTCCTCCTACTTTCTTCTGCAGCCTACTCCAGGCCACCACTCTGGGCTGTAAGTCCCAGGGACTTGAGATGCCTGGGCCATTCTTCGTACTCCGTAGCCCCGACCAAAATGCAGAACTCCGCCTGGGCACTGGGTACCCTAGCCTGCCCTGCCCCAATGGGGATGAGGCTGTGGAACCAGTTATTATTAAGTGCTGTCAACCCACAGCAACCCTGTATAGGCTTTCCGAGGAGCAGCTGCTGAGTTTGAACTGCCGACCTTGCAGTTCAAATCAACTCTGCAGTCCAGTGCATTAATCCACAGAGCCACACCAAGGAACCCATCAGCTCAGAGCAAACTTCCCCTAGAGCAGTACATGCCTCCTGTGTGCATGTGCTCTGCTAAGAGGTGAAGCAGACGCACGCGGAAGAGAGGCACTGGGAGCGCTTTGGAGGGAAAGGCAACATTGAACAGTAAGTTCCTTCTGAGTGTGGCAACCCAGATCCTATGCTCCACAGAGAGAAGATACATTCAGCTCCTGAAGACTAGTTGCAAAGGTCTTTTTAAATTGTATATATACATAATGGAGTCCTGCTGTGGGATAAAGCACTGGACCACAAAGTTGGTTTCAACCAACCACAAGGTCAGTGGTTCAAACTCACCAGCTGCTCCTTGGTCAGCTTGAGTTGGAACCAACTCAAAAGCACTTAACAACAAATACACATATAACCTACCATTTGCCAATTCAGCATTACCCGTATAATCATGACTTGGTGTGGCACTCTAGGATCAGCACTAGACTATGAACCACAAGGTTGGCAGTTTAAACCCATCAGCTAGCCCGCTCCTTGGATACCCTATACAGGGTCGCTATGAGTCAGAACTGACTTGATGGCGCTTAATAACAATCATGACCTGCAGACTTCACCTGTGGTGGTAGTGGTGGTGGTTATGTGCTGGACTTCACTTGCACCCGTTGCCAAATTCCTGTCCCTGGTAACCGCTAAGAAATGTTGGTCTCTATGCATTTGCCTATTTTAGATCTTCAAAGTGGGATAGTACCTGTCCTTTTGTGACACACATTCATCTCACTTTCCCTGTGGCAGCCTCGCTCAGAGAAGCCTGCGATTCACTGCCCTCACTTCCAGGAGTGGTAAGGTCAGAGTAGGGGTTCATGTTAGCAAAGCCTTCACACCTTTCTTGTCCAAGTCCTATAGTGACTCTATTGCAAGTCTACAAATGAGGAAACTGAAGGCCTGCTTAATAATCTGCCCAAATCAGAAGTTACCAGCAGGGGTCCAGCAGGCGTGGTGCCTGGTCGCCAGGCTGCCAGCTGAAAGCACTTCTGATGGCACACCTGAAACCAGGCTGGGATCTATCCCTGTCCACTCAGTATCTTTGCCTAGAGAAGGCTTTGCTAAGTCACACTCAACTCCTTCCACCTCTCTCCCTACCTGACTATCCTCTTGATAACAGCAGTTACTCCTGAAAGTTAAGAGATCGCTTCAGAGCAAGAGTTGCCCTCTTTCTACCAGGACAGCCCCCTGACCACTTGTAAGATCATTGCAGTCCCTCCACACACAGACCACATCATCAAACTCCTGCATTTTATTTCTGTAGAAAGCCCCTGTCCTACCTTCCTCTGACCACACCTCCAGGGAGGGCTACCGGAAGGTAGAGAAGGTCTGGGTACTGGTGCAGGAGGCATAGGGCACGCCCCGAGAACGAATCTGCAGAGTGTGGAAGGTGAGGGGAGGGTTGGGGCCCGATGAGCCTGGGTTCAAGGACTCGGTGTGAGGCTCCATCACCGTCACGGGCACAGCGTAAGACAGCACCTGGGGCCGGTCATCATGGCGTCTCACTGTGCCCTTACCCAGGAGGTGCAGGATGCAGGAGAGAACGTCTGTACTGCTGCAGGCAGAGCCCTGGCCCAGGCTGCTGACCAAACCTCGAGGAGGACACGGGCCCTTCTGCCAAGCCTCCAGCACCTGGCATGGGAAGGGAAAAGGATACATCAGAGACACTTAGCTTGCCTCCAGCTCCCACTTCACCACACGCCACCAAGGTAGGAAATGCTGTGGACTGTGGACGTCAGGCAGGCCTCACCTCCCTCACACATTTTTGGGTCCCACAGTGAAATGGGCTTCAAACGTGGATCCTCCTGTGGACTGTCCACCCTCAAAGCCCCCTTACCCACTGTGCCCACCCCAACCAACCAGGCAGACAAGCTGGTCAATATGTAGTCCCTCATCCCCATGGGCCTTGAGGATTCGGACAATTATGCAGTTTAGAAGGTTCCGTCTCTTCTCCAAGTTCCGGCCCTCTTCATCCTCTGCTTTCAGGTATGTCTTGGGTGGGATGAGCCACACGTTGCCTCTCCACGGCCTGGGCTCCTCACTGTCGTCACGAATCTTGAGCACCCCTGAAAGAAGAGCTAGTCACTCCAGCAGAAGGTCCAGCTGGCTCGGCAGAGGCCCCTCTGGCCCTCCGTGCATACCTCCAGGTGCATCCTTATGCTCCTCAAGGTCCAAGGGGCCTCTTGAAGAGGTGAGAGGTCCAATTGCTGGATTCAGCATGTCAGGAGAGAGTCCAGAGAGTTCCAGCAGACTCTCTACAGAGATGGCCTTAGGAGAAGATGAGGGAAACAGTCAAGTCCTCCCCAAGGATATAGCAGAGAGGATGAAAGGCAGGAGGAAGGTGAAGGGTAGGTAAAGACAGCAGAGGCAGAGGGGCTGGGCACCTTCAGATCATTGAGATACAGCAGCAGCCACATCTGCACAGTAGACACATGCAGGGTCTGGTCCCCAAACTGCAGCTCGGCCCGGCCCAGCCAGGTCCACTGTAGCCGTCTTTGCGGGCTTTGCTCCAAGCCAGGGTGGCTCTGGCCTGGGAAAGTATCAGGGAGAAGGGAAAGGTGGAAAGTCAGGGAAAGGATGGGTTAAGGGCTGGAATGAGGGCACACTTCGCTCCAGCTAGTGTCTGCAGGGTCACTACGGTTCCCAGTCGGAGCTCCTAGAGCTCAGCCTTCTCTGTGCCTGCCACCCTGGCCAGCCACAGGCATCTAAGAGCCCACTCTGTGCCTATCCCAGTGCTGGGGAGGCTCTGATCACTGCTTTCGACAACTTTCCCAGATTCTTTTGAGTCCCCCCATATTTTAGATGATAAAATCACAAAATGAGGGATGACTAGGTTTCTCATCAGACCAGAATATTCTAGAGAGGAAAACGAATGCCTCCCCACAAGTCTGAGAGCTCCCTGAGGGCAGAGTCTGAGGCTCTTCCCCTTCTTTGTGGGGAGCTTAGGATACCTAAGAGATGAGATGACACTACAGGAGGCAGATGCTTCCCTTACCCTCCCACCCCACCTGCTAACAGCCCCCTGGGCCTTATTTCACAGATAGGCAACAACCTGGGAGTCTGGAACCTGACCGCCTCCCCACCCCACCCCTGAAAACTATGTCCCTGCTCTCTCTTCTCAAATCCACTCGCTTTTCTCCACTGCCTGAGAGATTCTGATCCCTAAAGACCATCACTTTCCACGTCAGGGCTTCCACTCCAGGGACCCAGGCCTTTTCCCAGCATCCCTCTCCTCACTCTTGTTGTAGAAGTTGGAGTATCGGTTCAGTGTTCCCCTCAGGTAAGAAGGCAGGCAGGTCCTGGGGTTCAACACGTGGCAGATGGAGGAGATGGGCCAGCAGCTCGGCGACAGGACAAGCACAGAGACTTCCGGCATGGTCCCCTCATAGAAGAGGTCCTCATTCTCATTCTCCTCCTCCTCTCTCTCCCCTACTTCTGCTGCTGTAGCCCCAGGTTCCTCCTCTACCTCTCTTCCATTTTCCTGGCCGCTGGCCTCGTGACCCACCTGAAGGAACACAGGGTTCCCCAAAGTCAATGGGCTTCTTCTGGTTTGCTCCATGCCACTCAACCTCCCTGGCTCTTCCATTTGCTCAACCCTGCCCTGCACCCACCTGTATTTTCTTCTCTGTATCATCCAGCTTCAGCAGTTCTTGGTCCAACCGCTGGAGCTGGTAGACATGGAACTGGCGCTGCAGCTCCTCAGAGGTGTTCAGGCTTTGCAGCATCTGCTGGGGGAGGCGGTTGGGGAAGCAGGGACCAATCTGCTCCAGCACAGCCCCCTCCAGCCAGCTCGGGCCCACGCCCAGGAGTCGGTCTGCCATGTAGTGCCTGTAGGACACACACAGCTGGGGCCAAGTCTCAGTGTGGGTTCCCAATATGGCCCAGATTCCCCCTCCAGGACCCCCAGCCTCCCTGGCCCCATGAGCTGGCCTGGCCCAGTCATTCTGTCTCCCCTATCTCCTACTCCCCAGGACCTTACTCACTGGTAGTAATGCTCAAAGGTTGTGGCTATCTCCAGGCCAGAGAACACCAACACGGTTTCCAGGCATCGCTGCAGTTGTGCCAGCATCTCCATACCCCGGACCCCACCAATCCGACTGCCCTGAATTCGCTGGTCGATGTGCCGGGCAAACTGCTCACTCACCTGGGCATTAGGAAGGCACAAGAAAACCCTGAGCAAGCAGGCAGAGCAGGCTCGAGGGAACAGTAAGGAAGGAAGGCTGCAAAGGTTGACAGTAACGACTGGCAGCTTTCTAAACTCATTGCTTTTACAAAACTATTTTTATAAACTTGTGAACAATTACGAAAAAGAACAATACTAACAGTTATGCCAGGTGTTTTTGTCCACATTGACCTTGTCTGAAAATCAAGCCCCAAACCATCTAAAATGGAGGGACAAGTTGTATGCACTAAGAGAGTCACAATGCAAGGTTACTGATTATTGTTGTTCCTGCGAGTGGCTGATAGATTTGAACTGACCGCCTTACATGTAGTAATCCAGTGCTTATTGGACAGAGCCACAACAGGGCTCAAGGTTACTGATAAGAGACTAACTGGAAGCAAGTCAAGCAGCCACTCCTTCTGGCACCCACTATGCTGTACTTTGCTTATCAGGGTGCTGACCCTATCTCAGTGCATTGCTGGCTTAATTGTGTGCCAATTCTGAGTGAAGGGACTTGGTCTAACTGCTCCTATCAGTGACGGACACCTTTGAAGTGCTAATTGCTTATTTGTTAAATGGTAATGGCTAAGCTATACTACATCCATTAGATGTAATATATGCAAAAATGTTTAAATAAGGGCAAATAGAAAAACTGAAAAGGGTTTCTGATAAAGCAATCAAAAGCAAGCAGAGGAAAAGATAATGGAAATTTTGGGGATGGTTAATGGTGACAATGGAGTCCTGGTGCGGCACAGTGGGTTACTTCACTGGACTACAAAATTGGTTTGAACTGCAAGGTCGGCGGTTCAAGTTCACCAGCTGCTCCTCAGAAACCCTATACAGAGTCACTATGGGTCAGAATTGACTTGACAGCACTTAACAACAACAATGGTGACAACTAACATGATAAGCTTGAGATTATAGAATTGGCCAATGTTTGGTTATTACATATTTGTTGTTGTTGTTGTTAAGTGCCATCGAGTTGGGTCCGACCCATAGCGACCCTGTACAGGGTTTCCGAGGGTGTAAATCCTTACGGGAGTAGAAAGCCTCATCTTTCTCCCGCGGAGCGGCTGGTAGTTTCGAACCGCTGACCTTAAGGTTCGCAGCCCAATTCGTAACCACTACGCTACCAGAGCACCTTTCACAGTTAAAATCAAATACAACAGGATAGAGCATTATAGTTACTCATGAGGGAACTATGTTAAATCATGCAAAAAAAAAAAAAAAAAAAAGAAGAAAGCATAGATTAAGGTAGTATGCTGTAAGTTACCATTTTTCTAATTTTCGCATAATATGGCTATATACACACTCATATGCATGTGAATATGTGTATATATATTTACTTATTAAAGAAATTGACACAAGAGACACATGACCACACTGAACAGGAATGGAAGAAAGGGCCGTTTAGGGATGCAAGAAGAGAGACTGTGTGAGGAGTGGCTTACGTGGGCTGCTTTGAGGAAGGGGAGCCTCAGCAAAGCCCCAGCACAGCCATTCTGCAACGCCAGCAAGAAGGCGGCCCGTGGCCCAAACAGCTCTGAGTTTGAATTCTGCAGCTTATCAAAGTGTTCACAATAGCGAGGCACAAAGTCATCATCATGCCAGTATGAGGTCAGGAACTTGTTCACCTGAAGGGAAAGGACAGGACTGTGATGAGGCATGCCACTGTTAGAGGCCTCCTCCTCCCCTTGCCCCAGCCTTGCCCCAACACCTGCTCCTGCCCACCTGCTCCTCCACCACCGCCCGCCAACAGCGGGTCAGGTTTCTCATGATGCTGCTTGGAAGCCCCCGTGTAGCCAAGGAGCTCCAGTCATGACTTCTATTCCTGCACTCTGTGCAGACAGAGAAAATGGCAGAGTTAAAGAGGGACAGCCCTCCACTTCCGGGTCCCCATCCAAGAATGAGACTTGGGGTCTCATCTTTGCTGCTACCTAAAATGATGTTCCTGGAAGATGAACAGGCCGGGCACCCAGGGAAGGTGAGGAGGACAGAGCCTGAAGTGTATGAGCAGCGTTGAGCCCAGGAAAATGTTCCCAACAATGGCTCCCTGCCCGAATTCCTAGTACTCACTGGGCTGAGGCATGGCCACCACCGGAGGGGGCACCTCACAGGGCTCAACGTGTACCAGCAGGTGAGTGAGACGGCGCACTCGCGAAGAGAAAGCTGCCGCGCGGCTCTGAGGGTTATGGGCAGCCTCCTGACACTCCAGGTATTGGTCCAGCAGCCAGCCCAGGGGGCTGATGCCATCCTCATCTAGAGGAGAGAACAAGAGTTACAGGACAGGACAACAGTCAGGGTTATACTCTTGTGCGATGAGCCCCAGGAGATGCCCTGTGGAAGCAGAGAGAGGCTGGGCCACACAGGGGTGTAAGAAAAGAGCCCTTGAACAAATGACCTGGGAAACAGGGGGAAGGACAAGAGAAAATATCAGAACCCTCCTAACGTATGGTGTCAGCTGGCACCTGGGAGCCATGGAAACAGGTGATGAGTACAGGTACCAGGTGGTTTCAGGGTTCTCCAAGAAGGAGCTGGTTAGTGGGGCCAAGCAGTGCGATGGTAAAAGGGGTCAGGTGACAAGGGACTGGTTACCAGTGGAAGTGATGTTCTGCACGAGAGGGCTGACCAGGGCCTCCCAGCAGGTCTTGCCCAGGGCTTGGGCGGCCTCCTCGTCAGGGAGGAAGTGTTCAGCAAAATTCTGCTCCTGGCGCAGAGCTCCATTTAGTCTGGGAACAGGGCATGGAGTGTCAGGGGCTTAAAGTACAAAGGGAAAACATTCCAGCACCTGCCCCAAGAACTGTAAACCTATATCTCTTCCCTCCATAGAACCCTGCCCCTCAGCCATGTACAAGCATCTTCCCTTTGCAGCAGACACAGGTGCGTGTGCACATACAGACTCTCCCACACATACCTGGAGCTGAGGTGTAGCAGGCTCCTTCGGTCCTCGGCTATGTCCTGACTCCAGGCCTGCGCCCGGACCATGTAGAAAAGGCGTGTGTGGCGACATAGCTGCTCCCGGAACACTGGCCACAAGGTGGGCTTGGGGCCCAGGACCTCCAACCCCCGAATGCGTGTGTCAATGCCACCCTGCAATGGGCATGGCCTGATGTCAGCTGCCTCATGGCCTCCTCAGCACAGACTAGGGCCAGTCACACCCTGCAGCCTCACCCCTGGAGCTGCCGGGACCTGGACCGTGGCTGGAGCTCTGGCCTCAAGATCTGCCAACATTCCAGGGCCCAGAGTCCCTCACCTGGGGCCACATTCCCATGCCTCTTGCCCCACCTGCTGGCAACGCTTTATGCGGATCTGGATGATGGGCCAGAAGCGGTTCAGATTCTCCAGGAGGATCACCCGGCTGGCAGCGGGCATCACGTTGACCTAGGAGGACAGAATGGGTGTCACCTCCATGTATGGGTGAGTGCTGAGAGCACCCCAGCATTCCAGCCCCATCCCAAGTTTCCCTATCCCCTAGTCCTGAGATGTTTGGGGCCCCAATGAAGGGGCCACGTCCCTGCTCAGAATCTAATGCCATGATGCTACCTTCTGTGGGGTTCAAGATAAGTGGTTTAGGAGGTTAGTGGTCTGGGAGGGAGGGTGGATCCTGTGAGGGGCAATTAAATGGCACAGGCGTCCCTACCGAGGTAAGTTCCGTGTTAAGAGAGTTGGTGCTGTCACCCCCGAACACCACCACCCTGGCTGGCATGTAGCTTGAGTCCTCGCTGGATACCAGTAGAGCCAGCTGCCTGGGAGTGGGAAGGACAGACCAGTCAGAGCTAGAAACCGTCAGGTCCTTGGAGCCCATGAAGCCTCCCCCATGACAAGCACAGGGAAATCACGATAGAGTGTAACTGTGAGGCTGAGCCTGGTGTGGGGACCCTGTTACCGGAGGAGGACGCCCTGGCGCATGTGCAGGGTGATGGTGTGGGAGCCAGCGCTGCCGTGGGACTCCCAGTAGGTCTTGGGATTGCGGTCCATCAGTCGACTGGCCCGGTGAGGGTTGGAAGACACCTCAACTTTCTCCCAGCATCTGTCCTCCTTCATTTCCACACTGGAGCCTGGGGTCAAGTGGGAAGGGGGGAGGTCACAGCCTGGTGGGATATGAGGAGGGAAGGAAAGCAAATACAAGTGTGGGGATGTGGAGTGATGGAGGAACAGGCACGAACCCTGGCAAAGGTATCTGAGGAACACGTCAAAGAAGGGGATGTTGATGGGCCGATGGGTTCGTCTGTGGTCTTCAATCTGGCCCAGAACCATCTGTATCAAGCACATTAGAGAGATCAAGTAGCAAAGGGAAATTCCCCTGTAATGCCATCAGGAGAGCCCCAGACGAGGAAGAGACGTGGGGAAGAATGTTCCCAAATTCATTACATTCCCCTGCTGTTCCTAACCTTTCCTAATACATCCCCAATCCCTGCCACTGATTCAGCTCTGACCCCACAAATGTCATCCTCCGGCACCCCTCCTCCTGACCTGGATACAGCCTCCCAGGATGTTGGTGATGAGTTTCCGGTAGAGGTGGGAATGCTTCTCACACTTAAACACCATGTCCCGAAGCTCCTGAGCCAGCTCCAGCTTCCCCAAGTGCTTTTCCAGAGCCTTGGAGATGGCATCTCGGGCACCTAGCTGGTTCAACACCACGGCATAGTCCTTGCTTGCTGAGGCCAGACGGTGCAGGAAGAAGATCAGTTCCTGCAACACCTAAGACAAGAACAGAGTAAGTGGGTAAAGGGGACAAGGCAGGGGCCATAAGGGGTCTTCAGTCCTATTTACATTACACCCACTGTGTGCTGAGTGCTAGGGAGACTGCAGTGAACAAGACAGTGTGAGGAAGTCAAAGGACGAGACAGGAGAGACACAAGAGCCAGGTGGAGTTAGAAAACCACAGACAAGCTGAAAGGGAAAAAGTCAAGAGACACCTGCCACTCTGTGTTTTGGGGCCGCTCGTTAGGTTGTCGGCAGGTGCACGCACAGAGCATTCCTGGGTTTGTTCTTTCCATGCCCAGCTGTCTCAAGACTCAGTTGTGGGGCCATGTGGTAAGATGCCCACGCTCTAAACAGACACCTTGAAAGCAAGGAGGGCACCAAGAGTGGCTGGATTTGTGTGTGTGGGAATTCAGGGAGTCTACCTCAGAAACTGAAATCTGGACATCAGTGAAAGGTGTGTATGGCATACACTAACCGCCACCACGATCCTAGTTCTGTTATTCTTTTCCAAGCCTTCTGTGCCCAAGATTTCTCTGCAGCTCTTGCAGCAGGAGACTCTGGTAAGTGATGGCCTCCCTTGCTCCCGTAGGCCTAGCCTAACATAAAAACACTCCACGGACACTCCCTGTGTGTATTGCTATTATCTACATATATTTATCTATAATACAAGGGGGCTTCAAAAAGTTCATGAAAAATTCCATGATCTTTTATTTTCAGTTTTTCACATACTTTCTGAAGGTCTCTCATACAAATGGAGTCTCTGGGTCATGCAAACATGCTCAGCTACTAACTGACAAATTGGAAGTTCAAGTCGACCCAAAAGCACCTTGTAAGAAAGGCTGAGCAACCAGCTTCTGACAAACCAGTCACTGTGGCGCTCCATCTACTCTGACACATATGGGGTCACTATGAGTCAGAAATGACTCCATGGCAACTAGTTTTATAACATATAGAGATACATAGGTAAAGATATAGCTCTGATGTTTGCTTATATTCACACACAGAAAGGACACAGGCACATAAATTAATACAAGTGCTTAACAATCAGGGGTGTTGGGGTGGGCACTGGGAGAATAGGGATTCAGTGGGAATGTCTTACTATAACTACCTTGTTTTATCGTTTTGATTTGTGAAGCATATGAATGTGTTACCTATTTAAAAAAATAAAACTCAATTTTAAAAACAAAAGCATGAAGCCCCATAGGCTCCATCACACCCTCCAGAGCCTTGCCCCGGGTGTCTGTCTTGTCAGGAGCTGCCCTATGTCCTCTCCCTCCCAGCTTCTCCCCAAGCGGGCAGGGGTACCTCTCGGTCAGTGTTTGGGGACCGCAGGCAGGCCATGCAAGCATCCATGGCCTCATGCCAGGGCAGCAGCAGCGCCTCAGGAAAGTCCACCAGCCGCATCAGGATTCTGAGAAGCAGGGGGCAGGAGGACAGAGAGATGTCTGGCCAGCCTCAGAGACCCGCTGTGCCTAGCCCCACCTCTCACTGCCCTCTCACCTCAAAGCGATTAGGTGCAGGGCCCTGTGGGAGGCTGGAGTGCTGAGGCTCTGCATGAGCATGAGGAAGGGCTGGGGTTGCCGCTGGAGCTGCAGCACGAGTGGTTTGGCCTCACTTTCCTGGGTGCCCTCCGAACTGAGGGCTCGCTCCAGATCCAGGAGTATTTTTCCCGCTGGACCATAACCCTTCACCAGATGCTGCAGGGGACTGGTGGAACACTGAGTCTTGGGTTCTTTTGCTATGGGAAGCAGGGAGTCACAGAGTTGTTTATTGTTAGTGATGTGAAGGCTCAGAACATAATACAACAGAAAAAGTCAGAACTCTCAATCTTTTTTTTTTTCCTAGCTTCCCTAAAAATGCTTTTTTTTGGTCACCCGAAGTTTTTTTTTTTTTTTTTTTTTAATCCCTGAGTGGTACAGATGGTTAATGTGTCCCGCTGCTAATTAAGAGGTTGAAGATTCACATTAATCCAAAGGTGGCTTGGAAGAAATGCCTGGTGATCTACCTCAAAAAGAAAAAATCAACTATCAAAAAGTCTACAGAGCAGAGTTCTACTCTGACATACAGGGGTCACCATGAGTTGGAGTCAACTTGATGGCAGCTGGTAACTGGTAAAAGTTAGGTTTTAAGAGATAATATATTTAAATGGAATTATGACAGCTTCATGACAAATTTTATATTTTATGTTCTTAATGTAGCAAAGTACTTTCTCATTTGTAAATAGCAAGAGTATGTCCTATATTTAAAACCGTACAATAATTTCTCTTTATGTAAAAAAAAAAAAAAAAATTAAATGTAGGGGCTTTTTAAAGGCTCAAAATCTCTTCTAACTTCACATTCTGACTTTATATCCCCCTTCATTCTTTGGAGGGAGCAAAATGCCCTCTCTAAGTTTCAGATTCTTCCTCTGGTGCCAATATTCCCAGGTAGGACTGCAGAGAAATGAGCACAGATCTTTCTTGTATTCTTAATGCCATGCTAAATAAAGGTAAGTCTGCTCAGCTGCCGTGTCTATCTGGCATCCCACCTTCTGCTCTGGCTGCATCTTCTGATTTCTGGGCCTGGGCTTCCGGCAGTATGGCATCGTGCTGGGCTTCCAGAAGGGGCGGGTAGGTCAGCTGCCTTGCCAGGTCCTCGGGCCCAAACTTCCTATAGACCCGGCAGTTGAGTAGATCCCGGAGGGCACTGTCATCGAGCCGCTGTGGCAAAGCCAGCAGCAGGTCCTGGGCCAGCTCCATGGGCACTGCCAGCTCAGTCAGGAGTTCATCATCCAGAATCTGTCAGCAAGAGAAGTTCTCACTCTAAGGAGCCCTGTGGTATGGAGGCTTCTGGGGACATTCCCTAGGGGTGGGGATCTCTCACTGCACACCTTCTTCGTCCTTAAGTTGGTGGCTGGCCCACCAACACATCAGAATATTCCAGATCCCCCCTCCCATCTGGAGCCTCCACAGTACTCTAAAACAGAGGAACCCCCAACCTCCGCATGCTCCAGGCCAGCTCTACCTCCCCATCCAGGTTCTCCTGCAGGATCTGGAGGACCTCCTGATGGTCAGGAGCCTCCAGCTTCTTGATGAAGAAGAGGAGCTCCCACCACTCGGCCTGGGTCAGGTGCTCAATCTCCTCAGCATCCTCATCCTCGGGCAGCGCGTAAGGCACCGCATAGAGTTCCACAATGGGCTTCCACCGCCATGAGGGCAGGGCTGTGGGAATGGATCAGAGGGCACAGGGATGTCATTGCCCATGCAGGCAGATCATGGTTCTTCTGCTCAAAGCTGACCCCGTATTCCTCTCTAGGCTTACCCATACCAAGGGTTCCATTGATTACTGCCCCCTGGTACTCCACAACCCCAACCACATCTTCAATGTCTTCCTCAAAGCCCAGGATCTCTAGCATGTGCCAATGGACCCAGTAGGTACGGCCTGTCGATTCCCACAGCACCTGGAGGACAGAGTAAAGAAGAGAGGGAAGAGGAGGGTGAATCTCACGTAATGGGGCTGGGAAGGCCTGAGGGTAAACAGCCTTGTGGTCCAATGATGAGGACACTGAGCCTGCAGACTGACCACTAGCCAGGTAGCAGTACACAGAGAACACATACCTCCTTTCCCTTCTGGGCTCATCTCCCTAATTTTCCCCTTTTTTGAGTCTTGTTTATAATTTCTACTCCCGTGTGTGTGTCTCTCCCTTACTTCACAGCCCCTGCAAGAGGATCTCAGTCTTCCAAATGGCCAATGAGTACAGACCCCCTTTTACTATCCTAGTTACCCCATGGGTTCAGGGTTTATCTCTTCTTGGGTGGCTGGCCAAGGCACCCTGGCCTGCAAGTCTCAGTCAAGTCCCCATAGCACCCCACCACCACCACCACCACACACTCACCTGCACAGGGGGCACACCACTGTTGCTCTGCCGAAACTCGCCCTCATCCCCAGCACTGATTTCCTCATAATTGCTCAGCATGCGCACTCGCATCCCTGGCTGCAGTGTATCCCGCACATACAAGGCATAGGTATTGCCGCTTGCAAACTCAGAGCGAGAGCGAAACCGCCTGGACCTCCTGAGCACAGGCTGGGCCTGGGCATCTGGGAATCCCTGCTCTGCATCTGCTGGGTGGGGCTGGAAGATGGAACAGGGGGGGCGTGCCCAGCTCCCTCGTCTGCTGGAGACCCGGTCCCAGCGCATTGCCTGCACCAGCTCTGAGATTAGGCTGCCCATGGCCAGACTGTATTCCAGCTCCAGCCGGCTCCTCTCCCCATTCAACTCCTCAGGAGCAGAGTTGTTCTGGAGGCCTGGTTCCACAGCACTGTCATTCAGCTGATCCAGGAGAGAGGTGACATGCAAATAGCGCTTCACCAGTGAGAAGAGCAGCCTTCCTGGGACCTATAGGATACAACATTTGGTCTTTATCCACCTGGCCCAGCTTTAGTGTCTCTCCCCACATTGTCCTCTGTAGGCAGGTGCCAAGACTTGATCCCTAAATCTCAGTTATGGCTCTCTCCATCCTGTCCCCCACAGAATACCTGTGGCAGCTGAATCCCTTCGAAAGACATGGGGTGTTCAGAGAGTGTAGCCTGTGCAAACAGGGCCAGCAGAGCACAGCGGCTGTCAAAATCCAGGTGCTTCTCAATGGCATCCTGCTGACTCAGTGACAAAAGGATCTGGGTCCGGGTCCCTGTAACCCACAGCCTAATCAGTAACTGCTCTCTACCTCACTACCCTCACCCTTGCCATCCATTCTCCTACACCCTCTCTTCTCCCACTAGGTCTTTTCCCACCACACACTAAGAACGATCAGATTTTCTTCAAAAACCAAAATTCCATCTCTCATTCATATATGTATATACAAAGGAGCTTCAAAAAGTTCATGGAAATTTTCCACTTTTAATTCCACTTTTCCATGAATTTGTTGAAGCTCCTTTGTACACACATACCAAACTCAAACTCACTGCCATTGGTCAATTCTGATTCATAGCCACCACCCTGCATAGGGTTTCCGAGGCTGTACATCTCTACAGGAGCAGAAAGCCTCATCTTTTTCCCAAAGAGTGGCTGGTCGGCTAGAATTACCAACCTTTTGGTTATCCTACAGCTTCACCAGGGCTCCTTTGTACATATACAAGGGGGCTTCAAAACATTTATGGAAAAGTGGAATTAGAATAGAACTTTTTGGAGTTCTCTCAGATATGGGAACACTGGTTGTATGATGATTGTTTGGTCACTAACCAAAAAATGTTAGTCAATCAAACCCATCCAGTGGTTCCATGGGAGAAAGACTTGGTGATCTACATCCATAAAGATTCCAACCCAGAAACCTCATAGGGCAGTTCTACTCTAGAGGTTACTATGAGTTGAAATTGACTTGACAGTACCAAACACACACACATGTATGGTGGTGGTAGTGATGTGCCATGGAGCCGGTTCTGACTTACAGCGACCCTGTACAGGGTTTCCGAGGTGGTAAATCTTTACGGGAGCAGAAAGCCTCATCCTTTTCCCACAAAACAGCTGGTAGTTTTGAACTGCTGGCCTTGCGGTTCACAGCCCAATTCGTAACCAGTATGCCACAAGAGCTCCTTATGTATATGTCTGGAACCTCATATTAGTTCATTGGCTTTTTATTGCAAAGGAAGAATTTCAACTTGCAGATTTTTAATATATATGCATTTATATGTGTATAAATTTGACAGCACTTCATAACAACAAATGCATATATATTAAAAATCTGCAAGTTGAAATTCTTCCTTTGCAATAAAAAGCCAATGAACTAATATGAGGTTCCAGAGGATTCAGGCAGCCCTCCCTCTTTCAGCACAGATGCCCAAATACACCCATCCACATCATTTCTTCCAACTCTAAAAGAAAAGCAACAGATTCTTTTTTGTATTGATGAGGTTAGAGGCTCTTGCCACGGAGTCTGTCCTATGAGTCCCTGAGATGACCCAGCCCCCCTCCTGCTTCCTTCCCACTCCTCCCCACAAGGGCCCTCACCAGCATCATGAGAGGCCAGGGCTTGGATCATTCGGCCTGCACTCCAGCGCATCTGATAATCAGGACTACTCAACATGTGCATAAGCAAGTCCAGGACCCTCGGGTCTTTGAAAACCCCTGTGAGGGGCTCAATGCTGGCATAGGCGCTGAGCACATGGACAGTGTGAAGCAGAGGGGCAGGAGGAATGGTGCCCACGCACTCCTCTAACTGCCGAAGGGCTCTCTGAATCAGGGACTTCACATCTGTTTCCATCTCCCCCAGTACTGATTTGTCCAGGGCCCCAGCCTCTCCAGCAGACTCCTGGGAGGGCCCGACGACCTGACCATCCTCGCCCAGCATCTTGTGACAATTGGCATAGATCTCATCATTAGACATCCACAGTAGAATGTGTTCAGCCTTGCAGTCCACTTGGGTAGAGCCCCCAGCCCCGTCATCTCCTCGCCTGAGGATGAGCCATCGGATCTGGTACTCAGGATGCCCATCATGGCCCACCCGCTGGCGGATCAGCTCCTCAGGGTAGGCATGCAATCCAGGCCCCAGAGGCACTCTGAATTCCCTGTAGCGGAGTTCCCCCACCATCCTGGCACCTGGGGCAGACAAGGAAAACACAACAGGCAAGCTGGGGTGAGAGGGGATGTTAGGAAACCAAGGACATCCAGGAGTTAGAGAAGCAAATGTGCTAACAGCTGTCTGGGCAGGGAGGGGTGATGCAGGGGCCAGGAGTTGACTGCTGCCGACTGGGTGGGGCCAGCCCTGAGCAGTTTTATTTTTTTGAGAGAACACAAAATTTGGGGAGGGCCTCCAAGGCTCTGCAGCCAGGGTTGGTAGGTTTGGAGCAGTAGGAGAGGGAAGGGGACAGGGCAGCCTTGGAGTTACCAGTGAATGTCTAGCTGGCCCCTCCTGGGGAAGGGCTGTGTGAAGCAGATAGTGGTGTGTGTTTGGGGGCATAGGGAAAGAGACACCAAGTATGTGGAATGTGTGTGGGAAGGGGTGCTAGTTCTGAGGGCTGACGCCATTTAAGCAGCGGAATGGCAGAGACAAGAGACCCTGAGAATTGGTGGGCAGGAGAGATGGCCGACATGGGCTGGAGTACCTACAACTCCATGAACTGCAGCAAAAACGCTAGTGGGGGAGACATCCGGTCCTAGGACAGCGTGCACAGGAGACCTGGCGGCTGAGGGGCGCGAGGCGTGATGATGGCCCAGGGTAAGCAAGGAGCGCGCGGATTAGGTGGGAGAAGACACCAGGCCCAATAAACTCTGGAAGCCAGAGGCACCGAGGGGTGGGGGAAGGGAAGAGGCCGATCGGGTAAGCGCGAGAATCGGTGGGCTATTGGGCAGACAACACCCAGGTAGGGGCAGGGGGCCGCGGCGGGGCTCTGGCCACCTCAGATGCCGATGGGGCCTTGGCGCGAGACCTTTCCTTCGCAGAGCCAGGGAAGCAGCACAGGCGATGGCGGCAATACTGGCAGAGATTTGAGTCCGGCCTGGGCCCCTCTAAGGGGTCGAGACGGAAAGGGGCGTGCCTCTGCGGGGTAGGCGGGCAGGCAGGGGGCGTGGCGCGTCGAGAGCGGGCGCCTCAGGGCTGGGCCACTGTCATCCCTCGGCGTGAACCCGTCCAGGGCTGCAGGGGTGGGGCCTGGCCGCGGGCAGCTGCACAGACCGTGCTTCTCCTTGGTCTCCCGATGCCTACTTCTATTCCAAAGAGCCGGGATTCATTTCCGCAGGACCCAGCGGAAAGCGAGGGGCCCTGGGAGGACAGCGCTGCAGCTCCACCCCGCTGCCACCCAGGCGACTGGAGGCACCTCCTCCGAGCCGCCCTTTCCTCTTCCTTTTTGTCCTCATTCCCGTCGCCGGAAGTTCCTTCCCTATCTCCCAAAATCAGAGCTGAAGACTTTGGAGGTCATTTATTCCCCCTCCTCCATTACAAAGGCACTGAGTCCGGGGTAGGGTAGGATGATGGTTGTATGCGCCCCTAGTTTGCGTTTTATGGTCCTTTTCCAAACTTGTCTGCTCCTTTTTTCTTTTTTGTCTCTTCCCTCCCCACCCCCACTCCTGCAAAAAAAAAACAAAAAAAAAACCTTCAGTAACAGTACAAAAATAGGGGAGTTATTTTATTAGAGTCCAGGGATATTAGCTTTGCGCAGCAGCTGAGGGCAGCTTCACATAACTCTTCATGGGGGGTAGGGGCCGAATCTTTCGGCCAGCCCAGCCCCCTTTGCGGTGCCATAGCCCGCTGGAAGGCCTCTTTCCCAGCCAGCGGTTCCGCCCAGCCTTGCCAATGACCCGTTTGTTATGGTCAACGTTGGATACACGGCCCACTGTTGCAGTACACGTTTCCAGCACCTGAGAGAACAAATGGAGAATGCATGGCAGGGAGCTGGGGGCAAAGAAAGCCTGACAATGTTAAAGGCATGGCCTCTTGCTGGGGCTTCTTAGACTCAATGAGAGAAGAGAGGAGAAGAGTGGAAAGCATATTGTTAAATTCTAGGTGTGGAAGTGGGAGGGTGAAAAAAATGAAAGACCATATTCTCTATTCCAGTCTGGTGCTAGTCTGACATGGCAGCAAAGGGCAGACCCAGCCCAAGGCAGTTCCTGGTAGCAGAAAACACCTGAAAGCCATCCCCAACCAGGAAAAAATACATTCCAAAAATTCCTCCTTTGCCCATTCCTCCCACCTGTCCCCAACCCCGCCACACACCTGCATCTGCCTCTTAGAGGGCAGCTGGATGATGGCAGTCCCGTTCACCTTGCGCAGCAGCACACCACACGTCCCTGGAAAAGGGAGAAATAGCTCTGGCACCCTCCACGATGGATAAGAGGGGGGAGATTACATGGGGTCCTACCTCACAAACTGAAGCTAGATGCATGGAATGATTTAGGTGAAAACACAAACATTATCTTCATTTTCGTTTTCCTTCTTTCTCTCTGCAGTGGACCACAGGTGGGCCAATAGGATCAGAGAATTGTTACCTCAGGTACCCCCTGACCTTCCAAATTGTGGGACCCCAAATTTCCCATACCTGCAGCTCTGATGTACTGTGCTCCCCGGCCTGGCTCACTCTCCACATTATTGATGAGGGTACCCACAGGCAGGGCCCCCAGAGGATGTGCATCTCCTTCCCGAGCAGCAACTAAAAAACAAAGAATTTCATCAGCACTAGAATGCTCAGTCTTCTAGCCCATACGCACCTGACAACCATCCCTCATCACCTGCCATACGGCCTATGTGGTCAGAATTAAGGATCACATCTCCAGCCTTCATGTTTTCTGTGGCAATGATCCAGCGTTTCCGGCTGCCCCCAGCAACCAGAGCTATGTCTGCTGACCTGTTCAGTAGGAAGGACAAGTACATGTCATCTAGGCAACCCATGTCTTCTGAGAAGCCACCAAGCAGTCATTCAGACACATCATCGCCCAACATTCCAAACTTGCCTACAGGGATCATAACGGACGACGACGACCTTTTCCTCAAAAGGTCCTGGCTTGGTCTCCTGCTCAGGCCGGAACCGCAGAAAGTCTATCATTCGATAATGTTGCTTGTGACCCCCGCCAATGCCATGCACTCGGATACGGCCTGCGGTGTGGGGATGTGGTCAAGTCAAACTAATTCTGCTCCCAGCACAGAGAACAGGCAATGACTCCAACATTAGGGTACATTAGGGAATGAATAGAAAAGGATAAAAATTTGCATAGCACACCAGCATACAGCAGATAGTAGAGCATCTGCACCATCCTTGGGAAGACATATAATAATATAATTATAATGAAGGAAACAGGAAAAGTGAAAATGTAAAATGTTAGAAATGGAATTTCCCCACACTTATTGAAGCTCTTGCATTGAAATTATATAAAAACTCCAAAAATTTCTCTTCAAAATTACTGAATTCATTGTTTACAGGAGAGCCAAATTTATAGAAGAGAGTGCTTGATTTCTATTGTAAATTTTCAAATGATGTAAGAGAAATGTCATGGCATTTCCTGTACATGGCCAGCTTTCTTCAATTACTTCAGAATGTCTTTAGGAGCGCAAACCTGTTTATTGCTTTATATTTCATGCTCTGGTTCCTACACAGATACTACATAACGAAGTAGTCCAACAAATGTTTTTCATTACATTACTCTGTCCCACAACTATCAATATAGTGTCCTATGTTTTTCCCTTTTACTGCTTTAAAAGCCACTTGACCTTACCTGTGTGGTCTCGGCCCCCAGACTTCCTCATCTTCACTGGCATAATGGTGTATTTAGTACGACTCTTCCAGGACACAAACTTGGCATTAAGGGCCACAAAAGTAAGGATTGGGTGGCAGGGAAGCAACATCGAGGCAGAGGGTGGTTGGAGGAAGGCATTGCTTATCACCTACAAATAAATAGAAATGTCTTTCATTTGTAAAGCCATTTGAGGTAGAAGCATCAGAGACCAAGAGAGAAAACACAGATCAAGTTTAACATATAGCTCACTTCCTACTGGAAGTATCTCAGACCAACAGTCCAAAACCTCCATCTTCACATAGAAGTTTGCACAAATACCATTGCAGAATGTTTATTCAGGTGAATGTGTTGATTACCTCTCCCTATGTGATCCTCTTTCACTTCTGAATTACTTCTTCAATGGAACATTCTCCCGAGTACATCTTCTACCAATTTGGCTTTAAATTCTCCTTCAGGTAACCTCTTTCTTTAAATAACGCCATTTTCCAGAGTTGTTAATTTTCCACACATCCATGTACCACCAATTTTAAACCCTTTGTCCATCTGCATTGTTTCTGGGAGTTTTCTCACATGAATAGAATAGAGGGATTCTTTCTGTCTTGTTTCCTACTGTATTTTCTAGCAGCTGCCAGACTATGTTGGTTTGGTTTTTAATCCTACCTATACATCTGTCACACTCTCCCAATAGCCCAAGATCTCCAAAGGAGCAAAACTAACTCATCTGTGACTTACCAAAGCCCAGAACATATTCACTCAGCTCACTGGCTTTATCATTCACCTGAGAGTCCTATTCTTGGCATCTGACCCTACATGTTCTACTCTCAGCAATAACTGTTCATTGTAGGTAGTTATATCATGATGGTTAAACGTCTAGGTACCGAATCGAGGTTGCCTAGTTCCACTAACTGGTACTTGACCTAGTATTGCTTATCAGTTTTCTCCTCTGTAAAATGGGTATAACTACCTTATAAAGTAGTTGAAAGGAAGTCTAGTAGTGTACTGTGTTACAAGTTGGGTTGCTAACCGCAAAGTTAGCAGTTCGAATCTACCTCTGGGGAGAAACATGAGGCTTTCTGCTCCTTAAAGATTTACAGTCTTGGAAACCAGTTACAGGGCCACTATGCACTGGAACCAACTCCTTGGGCACCACCATAATTGAGAATACTTCATTTATTTAAAGCCCCATTACTTCCGCTGGGCTTACAGTAAGCAATGTTATTACTGAAACTTGTATAACCAGTGATCGACAAAGCGCTTTCACCTGCAGTATCTCCTCTGAAAACTCTAGGCCCTATGAGGTATCACCATCTTACTGAAGAAAAAGCCAAGCCTAAGAGTGACTGGAGTTCTGGTGTGGCGCTGTGGGGTTAATACGCTGGACTGCAGTCATTTTATCCGCAAGGTCGCTATGGGTCGGAACCACTCGACGGCACTTAACAAGAGTGACTTTTTCGGGGTGACGAGTTGGCGTGACTCCAGACCTGATTCACATCCCTACCGTCCATCCTTTTCTTCTCCCTCCCCGGAGGCCTGAACGAAACTCATTTCCTTGTGAGGCGGATTACCTGGACGGCAGGGGCAGTCGGGGGCGCCAGGCTCAGAGAGCCCAGAGTGCGGGTCAGCGCTCGGAGGGCCATAGGGGAAGACCAGATTCCACCGGGCTCCGCACACTACCCTAACCTTTAGCCCCGCCGCCTGGCGCTCCCCGATGACGCTAACTGCTCTTACTGCCGTCACTCCCTAATGATGTAAAAAAGGCGGGCATAGAAGTGGCAGTCCGTTTCCCCAACCCCACCCCATGCCAAGCCATATATTCAAAAAACCATGGCCCTAGCGTTGATTCTGCCTCATAGTGGCCCTATAGAACGGGATTAAGTTGCCCTGGAGGGTTTCCAAGACGGTACATCTCTAGGAAACCAGACTGCCACATCTTTCTCCCGCCCAAGCTGGAGCTAACACCTCCTTTTCTTGTTGCGCACGGTCAGAGCCAATCCCTAGGCAGCTCTCAGGTAGCGTGACTAGAGAACAGGCCCCGCCCCTCGGAGCCGTCAAAACAATTGCCTCGAGCGGCAGCCATGATAGATTTAAAGGGACAGTACCGGCAAGGGCTGCAGCCAGACAGAGAGACTACTGGTGAGTCTTTGAGGGTACTTTTGGGGCTGAGCGTCGAAGGTCTTACCACTTCTTATTCCTACACTCTCGGACAGATGAACAAACCCCTCCACACGACCTTACACGACTCTAGACAGACTCAAAAACTCCGCCCTCCACGGTTCTTCCCCGCCCCTCGGCGTCCAGAAAGACAGACGACCTGGCCCGCCCCCTCGCGACCGACTGACTCACTAACCTCCGGCTGGTCGCCCGTCTGGTCCCCGCCTGGGACGCAGATCTGGCAGTCCATTAGCACCTCCCCCTCCCCGTCTCCTGTCCACTTCATCTTACCCCTTACCTTGGACCCTCAGGGCAGGTCGACAACCTTGGACATTCCTCAACCCCTTTGCCAGTCCCTGAAGACCAATTCCCATCACCGCATTTCCCGGTGACCCAGAAGCCGGGACCTGCCGCTATTTCCTACATCATCAGGGGTTTGGGAGGCACCCTAAGGTGACTCTTCTCAGAGCCTGTTAGTAGGTAATCAGGTGCAGGGAGTTACCCCAACTTGGCCTCTAGGGAACAAAAGCCATGGAAGTGACTAAACTGGGAGTAACCAGGTCTTCTTCCTCACTCTTTGCCAGGCCCGTTCCTCGCCTTAGGTCTCTCATCAAGTCCCTTTCTCCCTTCCTGGGAGACATTAGTTCCTCAGGCCTCCGGTGGTAGGCTGAATTGGGTTCGGAGGAGGAGGAATAGAGGTTGTGTTTGGAACCCTTTAAGCAAGGGGAGGGAGGGTGTTTGTCCAGGGTAGGGCTCTGTGCCAGGTCCTTTGGGTGGCTGTGACTGGTGAGAGAGGGAACGCTGGACTCCTGGACTTGGGCAGGGCAGCTCCTTGCCTGCTAAGCAGTTTCTTCCGGACTCAGGCCTGAGCTCCGCCTCCACAGCCAAGGAAGGGCTCTGGTCTTTCTGCAGGTAAGAGGATTTCAAAAGTGAGAAATAAGACCCCTTGAGGAAGTGGGAAGTCAGCCTGAGACCCTGGAGATGGGACATGTGGGTTGAAGGCTAGTGGGGAAAGAGGCAAGACTGTCAGCTTTAGAGATGCTGTGCTTAACTCTGTTTCGGATGGATGCAACCTGAAGACCTTGACTCTTCTGGGGCCCTGTCACTTGAGTTCTGTGATAAAGGTTCCTGCTTTCTTTTCTCTCTCTTCCCAGATTTGACTTTGAAATTTATTCCTCTCCTTTTTGAAACACTCCACACTATTTTCTGCATTTTCCTATCTGTTCTAACCTGTTCCCTTTGTTGTTTTGGGTGCCTTCAAGTCAGTTCCGACTCATCATGACCCAATGTGACCGAGGGGAAGTGCTCCATAGGGATTTCTTGAGGAACCTTTATGGAAAAGGATTATCAGGTCTTTCTCCCATGGAGCTGTTGGGTGTTCCCACCATTTTTGGGGTGGGGGGGTAAGCACTAACTGTTGCACCATCAGGGAACATGTGTTCCCTTTCAATGTGTTCCCTTTCTGTTGTTGTTAAGTGCTGTGAAGTTGTTTCCAACTCATAGTGACCCTGTATAGTGTTTCCTAGGAGCGGCTGGTGAGTTTGAACTCCTGACCTTGTAGTTCAAATTGACCTTGTGATCCAGTGCTTTATCCTACCAGAACTCCAGTATACCCCTCCCCAAACACCTTCTCTGATTCCCATAGTGCTGTCTCTTAGCCCCTGATTCCTTTTCCTGACTCATGCTCTCTCTTTTCTGCTCTGTTGCTATGTTCTAAATCCCAGGGTTAGCTCTAAGCACCTCTGTTTTTTAGTTGTTTTTTATATTCAACTCAGTTTTTCTCCCTCCGTCTTTGCCCATATCCTTAGCTTTGTATTGAGTGTTGTAAGCTCCTTCCTCATTGCCTCTTTCTCCAACAGCCATAAGTTACACATAATCTTTCTCATCCCTTTTTTGGATCTCACCACCCTCTAACCTTTCTCCGACTTTTTTACCTCCTTTCTCTCCCTTGCCCCAGCTGAGTTTTGCATTTTCTTTCTAGCCTACGTGAGGTCCCTTGGCCAGGATGTCCAGCCTGGTTTTGGGGCAGCGGGATGAGTCTGCAGGGCACCGGCTGAACCAGGAGGAGATCCTGGGGAGCACTCGGCTGGTGACCCAGGGTTTGGAGGCCCTCCACAGTGAACACCAGGCTGTGCTGCAGAGCCTGTCCCACACCATCGAGTGTCTGGAGCAGGGAGGCCATGAAGAAGGGCTGGTGCATGAGAAGGCTAGGCAGCTGCGCCGTTCCATGGAAAACATTGAGCTGGGATTGAGTGAGGCCCAGGTGAGATGGCAAAGGTGGTGCCAAGTACCAGGGTGGATGGAGGAGCAGGTGTCAGACTAGAGTGTGATTGGAAGCTTGGGGCCACCTGGGATCCCCTTGACCTAGATGTGTGTATTCATTCATTCAGTAAATATTTTTTAAGTCCCTACTGTGTGCCTGTCACCCATCTGGGCACTAAATCTACATCAGTGAACAAAGTCAAAACTTTTTGCGATCTTGGAGCTTACATTTTAGCTGGGGGAGACAGTCAGTGCACAAATAAATTAAGCAAATGATTCAGTATTCCAGCGTGATAAGTGCTAAGGATAAAGATGATACACTGTAGGGGTTTATGACATGAAAAGACACAGTTTTAGATTTAAAACAACAAAAACCAAACCTGACAGATCAGGTGGAAGCCTTAGGCCACCACAGAGACTTTGCTTGTATTTTGCATGAGATGGATGTTACGGGATGTTTTGAGCAGAGCAGTGATGACTGAACATTTTAAAGGGACCCATCTGACTAGTAGTTGGTCTCTAGGGGACGGGGTCAGAAGCAGGGAGCCCACTGAGGAGACTCTTGTTATAATCTGGGTGGGAATGATGGTGCTCAAACCCAGGGTGGTGGCAGTATAGATGATGAGAAATTGGACTCAGGGTAGATTTTGAAGGGAGTCATTTCTACCCATACCAGCACGATCTATACCTCCTAGCCCTTCTGTGCCTGTGTTAGTCTTGCCACCTCCCAGAAAGCTCCTTTCCTGCTTACCCAGAATGCTCTGTCCAGAGTCTGGAGCTCACAGGACATGCCCCCCTAGGTGATGCTGGCTCTAGCCAACCACCTGAGCACGGTGGAGTCGGAGAAACAGAAGCTACGAGCTCAGGTGCGGCGGTTGTGCCAGGAGAACCAATGGCTCCGGGATGAGTTGGCGGGCACGCAGCAGCGACTGCAGCGCAGTGAACAGGCTGTGGCCCAGCTTGAGGAGGAGAAGAAGCACTTGGAGTTCTTAGGGCAGCTGCGACAGTATGATGAGGATGGGCACACCACGGTGAGTAGGGAGGCAGGTGTCACCATAAACACGGGGGCAATTGGCCCATCATCTGTGGTGTCAGCAGCTTGGCCTAACCTGCCTCCATCTGACAGGTCTGCCAACTCCAGATGCCAGCAAGGGGGAAACAATATTCACTCCCTAACCCAGCATTTTAGCCTACTATATGCTGGCCACGGTGTCCTCTGCTGGGGATACAGCAGTGAAGGAGGCAGGCACACTCCCTGCTCTCACAATTACAGGCTTGTAAGGGTGCAGATAAAACTGCAGGGCTAGAAGGCTAGTGTGTTCTCAGGAAAGTGAGGAGATGATTTGCATAGAACATAGACAGGTGAAGCTGGCCAGAGAGCTGGAGGTGTTTATACAAAGTTGCAGTTCTTGGTGGAGAAAAGCACATTTGCCCAGTGTGGAAAGTAGATTAGACAGCGAGAGTTGGCCCTGAAGTCCAGAAGTGGCAAGGGATGGACACAGGGCTGAACTAGACATTTGGGGTATGTATGTGCCAATAAGCTCAGACACACTCCCTGCCCTCAGGAGAGACAGGACAGACATATAATCAGTGTAAACACACAAGGATCAGCTCAGATATAATCAGCTATAATTACGAGTTGAGGAGGAAGGGAGGCCAGAAAATGAGGGTGGGTGGAAGGAACTTTTTTGGATGTGGAGGAAGGGAAAGTTATGAGATTTTGGCCTATGTGTCTCTGATTTCAACCAATAAGAGAGGCTTGAGTTTGGCAGGGCTGGATGCCAGCCTTCCCAGGATCAGGGACATAAACAAGGGTCTTCTCATAGGCCCCATCTGGAAGACACTGTTGGCAATATCTTAGCTCTGCCATGCTGCTTCTTCCAGGAGGAAAAGGAAGGTGAAACCACCAAGGATTCCCTGGATGACCTTTTCCCCAATGAGGAGGAAGAGGACCCCAGCAATGGCTGTGAGTCTGCCTCTGGAGTTGGATGTTAAGGGGGGCAGTAGGAGTCTGGTTCCAGCTGTAGCTCACCACATGTACACAGCATGCTCACCATCCAGAAATAGCTCTGGTGGGCCTTCAGTTTCCTCTTAACATCAAACAATTCAATAATGCCAGGCACTGTGCTAGGCACCAGGGATGTCACAATGAGAAAGACACAGGTCTCACCATTAAGGAGTGCGTGGTCTAGTGGGGGCCTGGCCTAGAAGTAGAAGTGGGAGGAGCGTGATGGCCTCAAGGGAAAGAGCCAGGTCTTTCTCATCTTTGTATTCTTGATATAGCCCTGACTCATGCTTATTAAGTAAATGTTTGTTGAATGAATGAATTACTAGATGAACAAATGGGATTGTGCAAGGGAGTGAGCAAAAGAAAAGCAATTGAGGCAGGTCTTGAGTGAGAGGCCTGGTGGGGGGATGGGCACAGGCCTGAGAACAGAACACAGGGTGAAGGTAGGAAGGAAAGACGGGGGAGAGGAAGAGGCCTCTGAGGAAATCTTCTGTTCATTTCTGGGATGACTAGTGTCCCGTGGTCAGGGCACTCAGCCAGGCGGATATGAAATCCCAGCAAGGTTGAGGACATTGCACAACCTGGTGATCCAGTATGCAGCCCAGGGTCGCTATGAGGTGGCCGTGCCACTCTGCAAGCAAGCACTAGAGGACCTAGAGCGCACGTCTGGCCGTGGCCACCCTGATGTTGCCACCATGCTCAATATCCTTGCTTTGGTGTATCGGTGAGTACTGCTGTCCTCCATCACCATGAAATCTTCCTCCAGATTCCCACTTTGGTCCTCATTTGGCCCCCATTTTTCCTCTGTCACACTACCTCTCCTCCTTGGTGGGCTTCCCAGATGTACCCTACTAGGATACTTTTGCATGTACAGAACTCTTACTTTTTCTATACCTGTGTCCTTGATCGCGGAGAATACTCATTTTTCAGGCTCTTTGCTTCTTAGTCTCTCCTGTGGAGAGGGTCTCTTTCTCCTGTTTCTGTCTCCTGCTTCTTCTAACTTGTGGCCTCCTCTTGGGATGGCAGAGCTGTGCATCCAGGTTTGGGTGTATTGGGAAACCCTTCTCACTGTCCACACCTTGTCTTTTCATGGGGGCCGCCAAACCCCAAAATATACCTGAGCCTTAACAAAAAGGGAGAGATGATTTGGGACAGCATTCTGTGTAACTTCTGTCATTTTTGCCCTCTTTCAGGGACCAGAATAAATATAAGGAAGCTGCCCATCTACTGAATGACGCCCTCAGCATCCGAGAGAGCACCCTGGGCCGGGACCACCCTGCTGTCAGTATTCCCTGCTTTCACTCCCCCCACCCCCAGTACTACTTTTGCTCTGTCTTAGGTTGTCCATCTGCTGCCCTCAGCCCACTCACTAGAGGTGCTCAGGGAAGGAGCACTGTCCCTGACCCTAGTGGTTCTCAGCATTCTGAAACCCAATGACTCCTTTTTATAATGAATAGTTTCCTGAAATTCGACCCATAGATAATGTAACCTACATACACATAGAATTTCCCAAAAAGCCAAAATGACACCCAATTGATATAAAAGAAAAACGGGAGTAATTTATAAGAAAATAATATTGAGTAAATGGTAGATGACAAAGCAAAAATAGTCAGATACTTACATATATCTAATGAATAACCTTGGATACAGGTAGTCCCCGATGTATGATTTATTCAAATTATGATGAACTGTGCTTATTACCATCTTTTTTGGGGTGGGGGCAACTGGGAGGACAGGTAATATCTTATTGTTAGTAATACATACTACATACATGTTAAAATATATCTCTATGTTTATATGTAATGTTTCTAACTCCCAAGGGCAAGTAAAAATTGAGTTTATGAAGGCAATAATAATGAAAATGGAAAAAAATTAAAAAGTCATTAACTTATGTTAGAATTGACTATGATAAAGTCATTGGAACAGACTCATGTCATAAATTGGGGACTACCTGCACTAGATGATGAGAAAAAAAGAGAAAGAACCTTAATTAGGGATAGCCCACCAAGACAAATTGTAGATGGTCAAAATGAAGAAAATGAGAAATAGGACATTTTTGAAAATGAATTGACAGTGTGAAAATAATTCCTTATGTTTTAACATGATAGGAAAGATGTATCACAGAATACCAAGTTCCCATCTTGATAGCCCACCAAATGTCAAAGTAGACATTTAGTATTTGAATGTCTGGCAGGACATTCAAAAGTTGGCAGATCTGTTTCACACATGCAGGACATCTGTAGTGTTCATGCTTCCACCAAGGTAATAGTGCCCTAATCTTTATGCAACCAAAACTTGCCCCAGATATTCCCAAAAATCCCCTTAGGGGGTGATACTTCTCCCATTAAGAAGTTCAACCCACAACAAACAGCTAGTTGCTAGTCTAGTGTGTTCCAACTCATGGCTAGCCCATGTATGTCAGAGTAAAACTGTGCTCTTTGGGTTTTCAGTGACTGTTTCTTTGAAAAGTAAATCACCAGGTCTTTTTCCAAGGGGCTTCCGGGCAGACTTGAACTCTGCCTGTCAGTCTTTGGGTTAGCAGCTGAGTGTGTTAACAGCTCCTCACACTGCCCAGAGACATCTAGAGAAGCTCAGCCCTAGCCTAGTCAGTCATTTCCTTCTCTTCTGCCAGCCTTGAAGTTGTGTAGTGTGGGGCCCTGCTCTTGTAGGTCCCTTGCAGGCATTGAGACTGACAGGGACCAGCCTCTCTTTGTAGGTGGCTGCCACTCTCAACAATCTTGCTGTACTCTATGGCAAAAGAGGCAAATATAAGGAGGCAGAGCCGCTGTGCCAGCGGGCACTGGAGATTCGTGAAAAGGTACCCATACCCTCTTTCTGTTCTTCCCTTGTTGCTGTGTCTCCTTCTCCCTGTCTCTCCTTCTGTTCTACCTTCTACCTCACTTCTTTTTTTCTTACTTTCACATTTGCCTTGTTCTCTCTTCTATCATTCCTCTCCTTCTGTTGCTTACACATGCACACTCACATACACACACACACAATCATTTCTTGGCTCTTTTGCTCCCCCACCAGGTCCTGGGCACTGACCACCCAGATGTGGCAAAGCAGCTGAACAACCTGGCCCTGTTATGCCAGAACCAGGGCAAGTATGAGGCTGTGGAGCGCTATTACCGGCGTGCACTGGCCATATATGAGGGACAGCTGGGGCCAGACAACCCTAATGTAGCCCGGACCAAGAACAACCTGGTAAGGGAGGAATGGGCAAATTAGATGGAAAGAAGGGAACAGACACTTGAGTCCTGGAATCAGATTTCTCCTCCCCTTTCCACCTTTATTTGGGGTTGCCTTTGGGGCAGAGGGGTCTCGTTCACTCCAAAGGGAAGGCAGATGTTCCATAACCTCCTGGGAGTGGGGTGTCAGGAGGATTTCTGGGAAAGTCATAAAGCAACCAAGAAGTGACTCAGACCCTGGCTAAGTCCATCTCTGGCTCCTGTGTTTTTGCCTTCCTTCCTTCCAGGCTTCCTGTTACCTGAAACAGGGCAAATATGCTGAGGCTGAGACGCTATACAAAGAGATCCTGACCCGTGCCCATGTGCAGGAGTTTGGGACTGTGGATGGTGAGTAGCAAGTACCTGGGAAGGGGGCTGCAGGGAGGAAAACACTGAAGGCCAAAGGTAGAAAGTTAGATCATAATGGTTCCGGGGTGGGGGGAGCCGGATCTCTTTAGCACAGCTCCCTCTGTTGGCCTCTGGGCCCTGGCTCTCCCCATACTGTCCACATGAATTCTCTAACTGCCTACTTCACCCTATGTACCATCCCCAGACAACCACAAGCCCATCTGGATGCATGCAGAGGAGCGGGAGGAAATGAGCAAAGTGAGTTGGGGGCCCAGACTGGGAGCCTGAGCCTGCCAGGGTCTCTGTCATTCTCCTTACACTTCCCACCTGAGCATCAGGCCATAGTTGCATGGTGCCTTCCTCAGCCCTGCCTACATCATGGCCCCATGTCAGCTTGTGCCACTGTGTCTCTGTACTCCTGTGGTTAGTTCACTGCCAACTCTGTCCTCCTGCAGAGCCGACACCACAATGGTGGTACACCCTATGCTGAGTACGGAGGCTGGTACAAGGCTTGCAAAGTGAGCAGGTTAGAAGTGAGCCTGGCCCCCAATGCCTACTGCCCTGTAGCCAATCCCTAGTCCCAGCCTCCTCTACCTTTTCCTTCTTCCCTTTGACCTTACCTCAGCTTTAGCTGTAGGCCTTCTTTTTACTGTTTTCATTCCTGAACTCATTCTCTCTCACTTCCTGGGTCTTGGCCCCTCCAGCCCCACAGTAAACACTACTCTGAGGAACCTAGGAGCTCTGTACAGGCGCCAGGGGAAGCTGGAGGCAGCTGAGACCCTGGAGGAATGTGCCCTGCGTTCCCGAAAACAGGTCAGAGACTTGGAGGAGAAGGAAGTTGTAGCCAGTAGGGCCCTGGAGAGTGGCTGCTGAGGCTCTTCTTGAGTCTCACCAGAACAAGAGGAGAGGCTTTAAGGAGGATAGGAGGGAGACGAAGGTGAACCAGCCTTGTGCTCATCATCTTCCACTTGTCCTTTGTGGTCAGAATTGCAGGCTCACGATTCACTTCACTGAATGGAAATATTAAAGACCCGCCTTTTCACAAGCTAGGTGTATTGCTGACGGTACCCCATATCAGAGTTTTTCAAGTCGCAGATCTGAAATAAATTCAGTGTGGATGATGACTAAAAATTATATCTATATAAGAATGCGTTGTAAATAGTTAAGATGAGTACTATTCTCATATATATGTTATGGGACATCACATTTTAACTAAATGTTTTCCTTGAGGGGGCTGATGGTCAAAAAGTTTGAAAGCCCCACCCTGAGGAGTTTAAGGAGTGGGACATCTCAACTCCTTCCTTTTCCTTTTCCAGGGCACTGACCCCATAAGCCAGACCAAGGTGGCAGAGCTGCTGGGGGAGGGTGATTGTGGAAGGACCTCCCGGGAAGGCCCAGGGGGCAGTGTGAAATTTGAGGGAGGTGAAGATGCTTCTGTGGCTGTGGAGTGGTCAGGGGTAAGTCTGACCATTGCCCTTTGATCTCTCCTGCCTGCTGTTTTCTTTGTGTGCGTGGTAAGTATATGTGCAATAAACCATTTGTCATTTAATATTTGTATAATTCAGTGACATTAATTATATTTATCGTGTTGTTCAACCATCACCATTATTTGTTTCCAAATGTTCCTGTCATGCTTAACAGAAGTTCGTTGTCCTCTAAGCAATGAGTCCCCCTCCTCTACTCCCTCCTACCCATTTCTGGGAATCACTCATAAACTTTGTTCATTAATAAACACTTCCTGCCCACTCTTGCTGCTGGTGGTGAGAGGCTCTGCGCCTGCTCTACTCCAGGCCCATGGAGGACGAGGGCATTTTGTCCTATCCTAGTCCACTCAGCTCTATCCCTAGCAGGGGTATCTCTGAGACTGAGCCTTTAGTAGGGTTCTTATTTTCAATCGGGGCTTTGTGAGGGAGAGTATGCAGAATAAATGGCTGAAGTAGACTTAGAAGTTAGTGTGCATGCAGTTCCCTTAGCTTCTGTTCCCTAAACTATCCCTCCCCACCAGGATGGAAGTGGGACCCTGCAGAGAAGTGGCTCACTGGGTAAGATCCGGGATGTGCTTCGTCGAAGCAGTGAGCTCTTAGTGAGGAAGCTCCAGGGGAATGAACCTCGGTCTTCCAGGTATACAATGAGGTGGTGAGGTGGCAAAGCAGGCTGGTAAACCCCTGCCTCCAGCTCCTTTTGGTCCCTCATCTCTGGAGGAGATGTGCCTTGGAAAGAAGCCTGGAGGAGGTCAAGGGGATAACCACGGAGAGAGAGTTTGGTCAGAATAGGTGTCCTTGAGGAGAAGGAGGGTTCCTGAGGAAATACTGGCTGCAGATGTAGAAAGAGTGTGTATATATGGGGGAGGAGGGGAAGCAGCAATTTGAGGTCAAGGCCTCAAGGGGGATGGCAGTGCCAGAGAGACCTGAAGCTTTAGGGCCACTCAAGAAGAAACAGAGGAGGCCTCAGTGACTTACTTCTTCTTCCATTGCAGCAGCAATATGAAGCGGGCAGCCTCCTTAAACTATCTGAACCAGCCCAATGCAGCACACCTCCAGGTGAGAGCAGTGTTCATAGGAAAGGAAGGCCAGCCAGTCAGCCAGGCCAGTGGGAGTTAGGTTGGAGGGTGCAGGCCCTCAGAGGTGAAGACTAGCCAGAGAGGTGGAGTTATTAAGGAAATAGGCAGATAGCTGTTTGGGGAGCTGGTGACCACCAAGAGACCATTTTGAGTCAGAGTTAGTAGTAGCAAAGTAGAATAGGAATTGCTGTTCTCTCCACTGGCACTTAGGAGTTAGGAATAATTCAAGAATGATTTGGAGGCACTAAGAGTTCTAGCTGCCACCCTACTCCTCACCTTGGGAATTTAGTAGTAGATGAGAAGGGGGCAAAATCAATAATCTCCATTGAAAAGACTACTAATGATGTTTTAATGGGAAACAACCACTTGCATGAGCACATTCAAAGTACTGTGTAAGCCAATATTCATGTGATTCTCCCAGGGATTATCTCCACCAGATTGTAGCTTCCTGGAAAATTTAGTTAGCAGCAGCTCAACTAAATTCCAGAGCTGAATGTAAAGGTATAGGCTTAAACTTAGATCCAGAGATACCACACGGCTTCAAAAAGTTTGTGGAAAAATGGAATAAAAAGATCATGGAAATTGCAGCCATGAGAGGGTGGAATCTAAGGGACAGTCTTTGGAGACTGAAGTGTCTGGTCTGATGAGGTGTTGTCTGTTTCAGGGCTCGCGGGGCCTCAGTGCCAGTACCATGGATCTCTCTTCAAGCAGCTGACATCCAACCCACTCCTCCAAGTGTGCTGGGTCTCCTCAGAGCATTCCCCATTGTGCCTGCCTGGCTTTTCCTAATCAAGGTGGGACAGTGAGGGGGAGCAGTTGAATTGGAGATCGCTGCTGCCCTTAGGGTATCGGTGGTTCCCTCCTCAGGAATCCCCCTCAGGAAGGACCTTCAGGGCACTCTCTTCCCACCCTGTGGTCCTCTAGAGTAGTTAACTCTGAGGCCCCAAAGATGGGCAAGATGCAGTTATGCACCTTAGAGATGTCGCCTGCTGGCTTTCTCTATCCAAGGGTTTGAGGGTGGCCAGCTGAACTGCCTTACCCTGGCCTCTCCTGTTTCCCTCTGCTGCATCACTTCAGGTCCATGTATTTCACTTATCTTAAATAAGAGAATCAGGTAACTATTCTGGCAATTGAGTCCTGATTGAAGAGGGTAGGAAGAAGGGATTATGTTGGACCTTTCAGTTAATGGATTGAATTTGTCCCCCTTTAGGTGTGTAAATCCTAACCTCTGTGCCTGAGGTTCTAATCTCATTTGGGAATGGGTTGTCTTTATTATGTTAACGAGGCAGGAATAGTGTGGGTATGTCTTACATCATTTTCTGGAGATATAAAAGAGATTAAACAAGCCATCTAGAGAGGCAGAGAAAGGGGAAAAGACATGCCAAGCCACATGACAAGGACTTTCCTTCAAAGGCGACAGAAAAAGCTTTCCCTTGAGCAGGATCTTCCTAAACTGTGAGAAAATAAATTGCTGTCTGTTAAACTCATCCATGTGTGGTATTTCTGTTGTAGCAGCACTAGAGAACTAAGACATCTTCACAGAAGAGTGAGGGGCAATGATGGATGGGGCAACAGGAGTGTTGATTCTTGGATCACTCCTCTCTTCCTTTCCCTCTTTGAATCTTCTCCAGCAAGGCCAGCAGGAAGGCATCTGGGGTTGGGGGAGGAGGCCCACAACCCAAGGAGAAGGTGCTGTGGACTGGGTTGTTGGGGACATGTGGTGGCCATGTGGTAGGACCCTGGAGTCCTGGCGCCACTCCTCTAGGTTCTGTGGCTGCCCCTCCTCCTCCAGCTGCTTGAAGGAAGGGAGGTCTCTGCAGGCCTGGGGAGCCAGAGGGGGGAAGAAGCACTATCCATCCCCTCTAGGCATATCCTGGAGGCCTGAGTAGCAGCTGGGGCCCATCTTCTAAAGCTTGACTCCTCTTGACCCGCCTCCTACACCCCTTGCTGCTTTCACAACAAAGAAAGAATGTGGGGGGGGGGGCGCAGGGGGTGGAGGGGTGCCTGGAACAAGGCTGTGCTGGGCCTCCCCACAGCTGGAGACTTGGCCATGCCCTGACACAGCCCCAGACTGCGTGGAGATGGACTTGGGATGCATTTGTCAGTTTAACTGACTGCCTGCCTTCAACCTGGTGTCGAGAGTCCAGTCTTTCTACCTATGGGTTCATATTGGTCCAGTGCCAAATCAGTCCAGTCACCCACTCCCCCTCCCTCTTCTTCAGGCTACAGCTGTTCTGGAGATCTACAGAAATCTCCAGGTTACTCTGCTTTGGGACACCTAGGACACCTGCTATTCTAGTCACCTTCTCTCCACATCAAGTAGACAGAGACCACCCTTTCCCTACCCTCCCTGTAGAATTTTAAGGGAACTATTGGTGGAATCCCCAGAAAGGCCCAGAACCAGGCTGCCCAGCCTCCCCAGGGACCATGCAATGACAAAAATCACTTTGGTTTCCTCGGGTCCCCTGCAGACTGTAGACGGTGGGCACAGATTACACTCCCCTACATCGCTCAAGTCGCCAGTCCTCTTGGGAGCTCCCTCTCTCTGTTCCCCATCCCTTTACGATCCTCTCCCCCCAGCAGTGAGCTCCTCCTTCGCCAAGGCGGGGAGGGGGCGTCAGGGGGGCGGGGCTCCGCGCGAAGGCTGGCGGGGAGGGGGCATCGCTGGGCGGGGCTTCGCGGTAGCGGAGGCGCGCGAGGACTCGGAGGTACCGGGTGCGCGCGGCGTCGGCTCCGGCTTGGCTCGGGCTCCGGCTGCCTCGGCTTGCTTTCTGGCCGTTGCTGCTGTGGCGGTGTCCGCGCTCGGGTCACTCAGCCTCCAGGGCCATCCGCTGAGCGCAATCCACGCGCTCGCCGTGCGCCCTTGTTCGCTCTTCCTAAGTCCGCCGCAATGGGAGCTGCGCGGGGAATCCCGGGCAGCCCCTGCCGGCTGCTTCTGCTCAGCGTCCTGCTGCTGTTGCTTCTGGGCGGTGAGTTCGAGCGAGTTGGGGGATCTGGGCTCCGGGAGCATTGAAGCCCCGCAGGCAAAAGGAGACGCCCGGGAAGGTGGGCTAGCGCTGCCGGGGCGGGGGAGGAAACACAGGAGTGGTGGAGAGGCTCGTGGGTGATACGAGGGGAGCAGGAAGCCCGGGGGCCGGGAGCCCGGCGAAGCCCCAGCAGACTGGATCAGAGAGGGCCCCTCTTCACCCGCGTCGGCTACGACGCGTTTCTAGTCTCCACAGAGTTTCCCAGGTGAGACCGGAGAGTTTGCTCGGGATTTGCCGGAGTTACAGGCTCCGGGCCCAGATGGGGAGTTTCTTCTTGGAGGGGATACAACTACCCGCCTTGGGGGCTGCAGTTGGGTGGCAGGCAGTGGGGGAGATGGAGTTCTCCCCGCCAGACTCAGTCCAGGTGAGGCAGGCCCGACCGGGCCTGATGCTGAACCGACCTGCGGCGCGCAAAGTGCGGATCTTTGTTACCTACACCAGCCCGACGCGTCCGGCTTCCTTTCTCTAAGTTCCCGAGCAAAGCTGGGACACTAGATGGTCCTGCCGGTAAGGGAGAAAGAAAGGAGGTATTAGGGACCGCTCCACCTCCTATAGTTCCTGGACCTGAGCCTTGAGCCCACTCCCTGCCCGGTCGAATTCGGGGATGGGGAGTCTCAGGCTGTCGCGGTGACTAATGTGTGAAGGCCGCTGCCAAAATCGGGCATGGCCGGCCTGCAAAGGTGCGGACGGGGTTTGCTCTGCTCGTTCCTGGATTTCCAGCCTGTCTGTCCTTGTGGGGGAAAGAAAGAAAAGTCTTAATTCCTATGGGCAGAAAGGCAAAAAGAGTTCATTTTGTCTTTCCTTGGAGGGCCTCAGCATTTTGGAGGGTGTGGCCCGCATCTCCTCGACCGACAGAAGGTCCCCTCCCTCCATCCCCCTACCCTCCCGCAGCCTTTATTTCTTGGCTTGGTCACACCTGATAGTCGCCACGGAGGTATTGAAGTGCCTTATAGGAAAGCACCAAGCTACCTGCACACTCCTACAGCGTGGATTGGAAATATGCTTCTACTCCAGCCAAGCACACAAAATCTTTGGTGGTAGTCCTCACAGAAACCTTCTGCCCAAGAGACCTGGTCCTAGCTTGTCACTTTTGCTCTCCTTTGAGAAGTAGCAGTTGAGATGGGGGAGGTGCATTAAGAAAGGCCTCTTCTGGCATCTTCTGGCCTGCCAGCTGTGGAGGGGTTTTGGTGCTGTTGGAATCAACTTCTTCCCCACCCACAGTTGTAAAAGGAGAGGTAATTGTAAGCTAGGACAGAGAGGTAAGAGCAAGCTCCAGGGATTTATAGGAGGTATTGCTGGAGCTGCTCTGTGTTCCTTGTGATGTGTATTGTGGTTATTGCTCCTGGAAGAGTGCACATCGGCTTGCAGGGAAGTATGGAAGTTTCTTGTGCCCAGCCATATGGATGAGCCTGTGCTCAGGGGTCCCCTGAACTGACTGGTTGGGTTTTGGTGTCTCAGTGGTCCGATATGGCTGCTCTCACTACTGCTGTTTAGAGTTCTACAGTCCAGAGGATATTTCTGATGGAGTTGGGGCTTCTGTTGAACAAATGCTAAATTCCTAAATTCCTTCGTGAGAAGATGACTCTGATGTTAATCAATGTTAATCCGGTGACGGATGTTCAGAGGAGGAGGCGGGAGTGCTGTTGGGGGGAAGTTAGGGCAGGCTGAGGGCTTGGGACAGGAGGTCTGGAATCTCCTCTGAGGGTGGGGGGATGTCTTGCGCTCAACAAAGGAACATTTTAATGAGAGTCTTAAATCAATTCCACCAAATGTGCCTTGGTGTGGAACCTGTCCATGTGTTGTAAACAATTTCAGCTGAGACGCCTGCTGTCTTCTAGTGAAATCCGGGGACTCAATCCACCCCCCGGACAGCATGACTTCAGGGGGCAACAATTTTTTAATAGATCACAGTAGACTTTTCCATCACATTGTTTAACTGTATAATTAACTGGAGTTGTAGTGAGACCCTGCTGTTAATAAGGCTGGAGTAAAGGACCTAGGCTGGGTAGGATGTGGATTAGACCATTTTGAAGTTCGGGTAATTATGCTGTAAATGGCTGAGTAACTTTCCAAACTTTGAGATCCCTGTAGTGATAAATACGGTGAAGGAGGAGGAAAGGGCTTGACGTTTGAAACCTAGGATTCTTAACCCTAACCACTTGAACCTTCAGTGGTCCACACTGCCCATCTCCACCCCCCACTCCAGGTTCTGTCCCCCAGGCCCTTGCTTCTTTGGGGAAATTGAGTTGTCTCATTCTGAGATAGCTGTCCTGCAGAGCCCCCAAGGCTCTGCAGCCTGTAATTCAGGCCTAGGCGTTGCTTTTTTATCAGTGATGGATTTTCTCAGATGTTGGGAAATATAGAGGGAAGGCAGGGGTAATATTAGCACACTGCCAAAGCAGTCATCCTTAAACATTGCTTGTAGCATTATGCATCCCTACTCTGAAACCCTATGGAGCTCTGGTAGCTCAGTAGTTACAAATCCCGCTGCTATCCTCAGAGTCAGCAGTTTGAAACTATCAGCTGTTCCACAGGAGAAGGATGAGGCTTTCTGTTCCCGTAAAGATTTACAGCCTTGGAAACCCTGCACAGGGTCGCTATGAGTCGGTGCCGACTCCATGGCACATAACCACAACAACTCTGAAACCCCAGTAACTCCATATTGCCTGTAGGATAGACATACTCTCAACTCCAGGTGTTCAGGGCAGGGTGGAAGTGGTGGAGAGAGCTTGGCGATGGATATGAACTGTCTGGCAAAGCAAGAACTCAAACACACTGACAGGCCTGTGGCCTTGGGCAGATTTGTTGATCTCTCAGCTTGCCTCCTCTGAAAAGGTAGCTTAAATCCTGGTGTTACTTTGTGTGTTAAATGCAATGAAATATATAAAGGGCCTGTTTCTTTTCCTCCCCTATGGTGTGCTTCCCACATGCCTTTCTAGCTTTGCAAACATTTCTAACAATAAATATTTCCCACTTGTTTCCATTGGGACTTTCTATTCCAACTCAACTGGTCTATTTCTCATCTCTGAAAACATACCTGGAAGTCCCTGTGTGGTACAATTGGTTAAACACTTGGCTGCTAACTGGAAGTTGGAAGT